CACTCTCTTTTTCGCGGTCACGGGCCGTTTTCTAAGGTATCGATGCGACCACCAAATTTAATCAAAGTCGTGGGTCACTGAAGGCACACACTCAATATTAAAAATAGAAAAGAATATGAACCCCATTTTTTGTGGCTTCTTAAAAGCTGCAAATACGTTGATTGAAAAAGGAAAAAGTTCCACAGACAACCGGAAGCATTCTGTGCGTTCGTCGTTTCGCGTATCGTGGGACTCGCGGAGACGGCGATGGCAGCGGACGACGGGCGTGGGACCTCTATTTCAGAACTGTCGTTCGCGGTACCGGCGAATTCTGTCGACCGTTAAAAGAGAAATTTGGGACTGATCAAAAGAATTGGCATTCATCCCGTACGACACGGCCGGCCACCAAGCCGATTTGCACGAAGACGACGCCGAGCCGTCGCTCCCTTCTCGTGGCTGAAGACATCGCTCGCGCAAACGTCAAGCACGACGTGTCTACTTCGAGTTGAATATGCACGCGTACGATTTCTTCACTAGGTGCGAATGTCCCCAATGCGTGGTGCTTCCCGACTTCAACCCGGGAGTGCTTTTTCTAGAGAAAAATCGACAGCAAGCTTTCCAACTTAGTTACCGGCTGAATTATTACTAAGGAAAGAGATCCACCAGTGAAGAAATGCTGCAGTAGCTCAGTGGGAAAGACGTCCGGTTCACACGCGGTAGGACCGGGTTCGATCCCCCGTGGAACTTTTTTTCTTTTTTTCAAACATTTTCTGATGTTTACATATCTTTTTCTTTTTTACAATCATCACTGAAGAAACAAACAAAAAAAGTAACAAACAAATGTTGTGGGCGATACTTCGCTGAAATAAATGGTATGGGATTTCCGTTTTGACACCTCCGAACTCCATGTAATCACTTTCCACAAAATGCAAGGAGCATATAAATCGGGTAGCGTCCGCTTTCCGAGGTGCCCGTAACTGTTTTGCAGGAATTGCAGCCAGCCATTGGTCCCGATCCCGTTGATCTTTCGGAAACTCTGTCGCACAATGCCACTTTTTTTCGGATGCAGGACATATGAGCCAGCTCTTCACGCAACATCTTGGGCGTATTCTTTTCGGAGCCGATCATGGAAATTCACCAAGGGCACTCACTACTCATCTCCAACTCCTCAATGTACAAAACAACTCATCTTGGAGTACAGAACAACGTGCGGAACAAACATAACTGCAAGTAATCGCACGGCGAGCAGTTCCCGCACGCCGCATCGCACGCCGCATGTCGTGTCGTCTGCTACGGAAAAGAGAAATAAAAAAAACGCACGGTCGGGTGTAGCCACGTGACTTCCGCCACTCGCTCTCTTCTCTCCACTTCTCCGACCTCTGTCGGGTTTCGGTTTCGGTTTCGAGCAATTGCGTCCTTTGGCTTTATTAAAAAAATACGCTACTCTGTTGCAAAATATTAATTGGGCAGTCCTCCGACACCATAATAAAGCGCCTGGCAAAAAATAAAAATTTTTTTTTGGGGGGTGTCAGTGTCCCTTTAACGCTATCGTGTTAAAATCGTCAATTAGCAAGGGTTATGCTCATTTTCAAATTAAATTGTCCGCCATCTTGTCAAGAACAAACCTCAACAGCCAGGCAATGCCAGCTTATTCTGTATAAGAAAATGTTCGCTTGGGCAAGCGCTATTTGGGTCAGATTCGGTCTGAGTGCGAAAGTGCATATAGATCAGAGTGAACAATTCCGATTACTTCTTACTGCATGATTAGTCGCATGCATGCAGTGGTGAGTGCAAAAAATGTTTGGTTAGAACAACAGGCATTTGGACTGCCGCTCGGTGTTTCTATAAAAAATAGACTGAAAGGAATTATCCTAAAACTTTTGTTACATTTTGAAAATGTCATTGCTCAGTTGGGTCATCATCCTATGCATATATATTGTGAAGTGAATTTCGTAAACATTATTTTATGATATATATGGGGGACCACGAGGTGCTCATTTCATAATTTTATGTGATGTAATTAATTCCTTAGTTCAAGGACACGATTTAACTTTTAATACTGCGACACAATGTTGTACCAATCACGGGTATTTTAGACGACCTACCACACTTCGCGACATTTTATACCGTGTAAATAGATCAGGTTGAACTTCAACATTTTACTTAAACACGAAGAAAGGACAAGAAAATACAGTATAGCTCTAAATTAGAAGCTCATCTATTTACAGGTATATACCGACAAGCTCAACTCTTTACTCTCGTACTTAAACATTTTAATTCAGGTAAAATAAGTGTGACTGGTAAACAAAGGTATCTTCAGTCGTATGAACACGACGTTATGTATGTCAATGTAGATTTTCTCCTGCTCTCGCGTCGAAATTAAATAACTGAATTTAATATTTTTGGTACCTAAAAACAAAAGTAAATTGCACAGACGATAAAAGAAACTGTATAGTTAATCGTTTCACGGCGTAAATAGTGCATATTGCCAGAACAACGCGGAAAATATATTGTTAATTTAGCGGTTCAAACCGGTTCGAACCGGTTTGAACCGTTATTTTTTGCTCCCCGGATCTGAACCGGAACCGAACCGAAAGCCGTGAACCCGAACCGAAACCGAACCGATAAAAATTTCGGTTCGACACCCTGGACAATGGCGACTTCTGGGACAAGAGGGGTGTTCCTCCTTCCTCTCTTCTCTCGTGGTGGCCGGAGGCGAGACAGTTATCGTCCGTACCTGTTAAGATTCCTAGACGGGCATTACAAATGAGGCGTTAGCGACAACCACCAGATGCTCTTTGCTAATCGTTTAATTCGTTTTAAACTTTCTTTTCGTATCTTTTTTTCAACAAGAGATTGGTGTGTCTGATACTGCTCACCTGAACATGAATAGAACGAGAAATAAGCGCAAAAAATTCGTTGTAGTATCCTTTAAGCGCGCGCATGCTTCAAAGGCTCTCGAAAGGCGCGAATACTGAGCTCGTGCTGATGTTGAGCTTACACCGTTATTTTACAACGTGCTCTCTACACCATCAAGATTGCCGGTCTTAGAACCCTATTAATGTGAGCTCGTTTTGAGCGTGCGCTCTAAACCACTCTCTCAAATATGGCGTCCAGTGAATACCTCCTATTAGTATCCAGATCAGAATGGGCCAATATATTGAACCCAGGATCCCTAGGCATATCCTGGGTTCGGCAGCTGGAGCTCTTGCTCCATTCGAGTTGACACGACCAGAAGACATGTACGCATTTCTTGAAGTTTCATCAGGTCTTGAAAATTAACCGAAATAAAAGAAGAGGAGGGGATCGAGCTTGATGGGTCGCGACCATGAAGACTCCAGCTGTTCTGCTGGCGGTCCTAGCCTTCCACGTTGAACCCGCGATCTACGGATCGCCACGTGATAGGCCAACACCTCTCCTGGACCTGCAGAACAAGATGGTCGTGCTACCCATGAGCAAGGGTGACCAAGCCGGAACCCTCAAGATAAACGGTACTCAAATCGCGGTCCAGGACAGCCGGTTGCCTTCAGTCCTACTCAGCCTCTACCAGAACATCTCTAAGGAAATCTACGCAGTGCCGAATCCCAAGCTGAGGTCTGCATTCCGTGATTCTCTGGAAGTGACGTTGCTGAAGAGTATCGAGGACCTCGTAGTACCTGGCTTGGACGACAAGCGGAAGGCGAAGATCAGAAATCTCAAATTCGGGGCTAATTCGGACGGGTTTAACAAGATCGAGCGTGGCGTCTTGGTCACCATAATTGTGGTGGTGCTGGTGGTAGCGCTCGTGGTGTTTGTCTACTGGTTCGTGACGACCGTGCTACAGGCGGTCTTGACCGATAGGCGATCGGAAATTGGGCTGACGGAGTTGGAAGATTTGGACGTCTATTCAACGGATGTTGACGACGAAGTTGTTTCGTTGACGCGCCATCGGAATGATAAGAGAGCTGAGTCGTGCCTCTGTGGGAAGCCAGTGAGAAAATACGAGAAGTTGCGTTGAACGCCGAGAACAGTTAGTTTAAAATCTTATGCTGGTGATTTCCAAGCCCTCATGTGACTGGTGGAAATGCCCGCAGTGTGTTTGACCAAGTATTGTGAGATTGCCCGGTTTATTATTTTATAATGAACTATGAACAGCTGTTAATCTAGCCTGTGTGCCGTTGTTCAAATCTAAAGATGCGTTATTTTCCTAAGAAAAATGACACCGAAACAAAACCAAACAAACACAAATAGTTTGATCAGTGCATAAATTTCCAAGGCTATGTTTTATAAGATGGTTTGATCGATTGATTGTGGTTGATTTGTATTTAATTAATTAGGTATTAAGTTTAGTTTAACTTTATACACCAAGGCTGTGTTCCAAATCTTACCCTAATGGATCCGAGTAACTCCGGCGGATCGTGTCACGTGACAGCACAGATTCAAAAACGCTGGAACGCCAAGGGTGCAAAACTCTTAGCGTGGAGTATGATCGAGTACATTTTGGAACACGGCGCAAAGGTCGACGTACAATTTGTAGCAACTTTCTGGTGTTCCAATATGGCAGCTACCATTCAGCAACAAAAATACCATTGTGACCAATACCTTTATAAGGTACAGTATAGCGCAACATGGCGACGGATTCTCATACGAGGTGAATTCGGGTAATTCGGGTGAATCGAAGTAAGGAGGTTTTGTGAATTTGGGACCAGATTTCTCTATACTCTCTCCATTTGTGTCCGAAAAAGGATACGTCCGACATCTGACTCGTCAGGTAAGCACTCCCATCGCTTCTGTCTGCCTGTTCGTAGCCCTGGCGACCGCAGAAAGGCCCAAAGCACGGAAGCTTCGAGAACGTAGGGATTACCTTCATCTATGAAATCGTGGTTCCGGTAAATTAGGATATCACACACTTTGATAATGGACAATATGAACGCATTAATACAAAGCTTAATTTTGTATCTACAACTTAACGAAATGGAGAGCCCTCTGCGTTGTCGCCACTGCAGTTTCAGTGGTCGTATTTTCTCTTCGTAGCAATCGCTTTACAGTTCATCGCCAAGATGGTTTGCATACCCTGCATTATCGCGCCTGTGCTGCTCTACATCTGGTACCGATTCATTCAACCCATCGTTCTTAAATTCTGGAATCCCTGGGAGAAGAAAGAAATCCGCATGGACGCAGCAGGGGACGCCCGACAAGACTCAACAAAACTGGCGAGTTTTTCTTTTTCTTTTTCGTTCAGATTTCACGGTCATCGCCACTGGTCATCGCTATGCGCTGTAATATAGGTGCCTCTATGTTGGAAGTTTCGTCAAAGGTAATGATCGTTCTACCTTGTCAAGTTTCAGGGCATTATTTTCAGTAAAAAAGGTTTAACGAAACATCTAGGAGTATCTTAACACTGGTAGGTGACCCACCCACGTCGACTGCTACAATCGAGGGGTGCCGCCACATGTCGTCCATATGATCTAGTGGACCGTCTTCAAAGGTGTTAAGTAGAGCGCTTGCTGAATCACTTTGATTTGCCATCTAACCGATTCGGTTTTCCATTCTCCAGTGGAGCCCTTACTGGAGAACGTAATCCCCTTTTAGCAATGCCGCACCATCTAGGGGTGGCGATTCCAAACTATGCGCACTCGCTGGCAGCAGAGCCGTATTCGCGACTCCAGCGACCTATAGGGGGCGCCACCACCAAACAAACATGGCGGCTGAGTCCAGGTCGCGGCGGCTCGGCCGGGCCGCCTGAACAGGTGGCGCGTTCAATTTAACAGATTTTCTTTTGTTTAATGCCCAATTATATAGGTATTTGAACTGAGACGGTTAAGTGTAGCCGGTGCAGATAAACTTGCAAAGCATAGTTTTGTTTTGCCGGTGTTTTTTTGTTCTTTTCGTATCAAACTTTCGTTTAGATTTCGTTCAAAACCGAAACTATGGGCTCCGGAGAGACGGTAATATGCTAATCAGTTTTGATCATCTAAGGAAAGCGGCGATGACTATAGAATTGTTCCACAGAGAGTAACTTTTCAGCTAACTCGCATGCCTCGACCATGCGACTTATCTGTCCACGAAATCGAGATTTTGTGCGTATCCGCGTTTTCGAAACAGCTCCAGTCGTCTGCTCGGCCAACAACACAGGCTGCAGGAAAATTACGAAAATTAAGCAACCGCTTCTTGAGCCAAGGAGCATGTTAACCCGCCGGCGCCCCACTAAGCAGCTGATACTCGTATTTCGATTCAGGTTTTAGTAGCAACCGAGAAGTCATTTTGACGAGCGGGTTATGCATTATATTATGTACTATGTCCCACTAAAGCGATATTAGTATATTTTTCGGGTTGAAACATGAGCTTAGTTGACTAGCTATTAGGTGAGATGCTGAATAAAAGTATATTTGACAGACGGAGACATACTACTTAAACTTAGCCAAATCGTTCTATAGCCGGCAGCACGGAGACAAACTGAAGAGAGTCTTCACTGAAGATCCACGCAGAACCTCTCTGCATTGAACTATGCTTCGAATCCTGAACGGAGAAAATTAGTATTTTTTTGTGGCCGGTCAACCTGACCAATGTAGACGTATAGTGCTGCTGGCTTCGACGTCCTCGTAATATAAATATTGGAGGCGCGATAGGTCAAAATGCCGTGACAGCATCTAACGTTGCGAGACTTGTCTCCCACCTTTTGAAAACAGATAATTTCCCTCATTCATCATTTGCAGCGAGCAAGTTTTCCTGAATCAAGTAATTGCGAAATCAGCCCAACTCCTTCAGTGTGGTCCAGAGGTTTTTTCGGCGAAAAGCAGCCAAAATGAATAGCCAACGCACCGACCGGCGTGGGTGCCTCAAACTTGAAGCTAACCGAACACAACCAAACTGAAGAAAAGCAGCTATCGAATTTTCCCATTCACTTGACTGCAACATTGATGTTCCCTCCAGTATCAGTTACCAAGCAGCCGTCACTTGGAATGTGATTCGAGACAGACAAGAAATCAAAAAGTTTTTCCGTGATTCCTCCCCATCCAAGAAATCGAAAGCACGCGACCGTGTGCTGCGGAGTAAACGGGCTTTAAAACACGTAATAGAAGAAAACAATCTACTGAGGCTTCACCACACTAATGATCACCCAGGCAAACTTAAGAAATATTAGGACCTTCGTCAAATTACATTGTTCGCCACCGCGCCGAACAAACGTCTCCGCGAAAGCCACCAGAGACGCCGAGGGGCGCGGCGCGACCTGGACCGGCTGGTTCCCGGTTTTCCCGCTTGGCGGCGTCCGTTTTGCTGGAGTCGCGAATATGGGGAGAGTTTGGTCAGTCTATGATCTCGCCGCCGTAACGCTCTCCTCCCCAGTGAGCCAATCAGCACGCGGCGTAGAGCGAGAGGCATGAGTGCATGCGCGTGAACTCCCCGCTGCTCCCACCTGAGTAGGGAGGGCTGCCATCTTCGATCATTCTCCCGGCGGAATGCGTGGAATCGGCATCTAAATCTCGATTATTGCCTTTTATATCGCTGGCTCTGGCAAGAGAAGGATATACTGTTATTCTTCAGTGGGTTAAAAAGCTAATAAATGAAGATTTTTCGGCGTTGGCCACAAACTTTTATTTATTCAGGCGAAAAAGAAGTCGGCCCGTTGCAGACGACGCATAGCCTCAGCAGTGCTCTTCTCCAACCAGTCTCCGACAGTGTTGCTAAAAAATGGCGGTCGTCTCCTCTCTGCTCCCTTCTTTCTCTCTCGCTCCTTCGGCACTCTCCTCCCTTTCATTTACTTTTCTCCTCTCCGGCGCCTTCGTCGCCACACCCACTGGCCAAACTCTCCCAATATACGGCTCTGGCTGGCAGTGGTCACGTGCGCCGCTCTGGCGGGACCACGGCCGACATTACGGGGTATGCGGTTGCAGTGGGTAGTACTCTGTAGTGCCCACATAGTGCCTTTCCAAATGAGTTTTTATTTCTGTGCAGCACTGTGCAAGCAGAAAGGCGTGAAGGATAACCTCCCAAAATAGGATGAGATTAACTGTTTCTCTGCAAAATACAGCTGCCAACAAAGAATGCTATGCATCTATATAAACCACAGTCCTTTAAGTTTGCACTCCCTACGCTCAAAATGAATTTTCGGGATATGTGCACGTGCACGAGGATTCATTGTGACAGCTTGTGCAGCAAAGAGATTTATCATAGCATGGAGCACACATACATGGCTCTTTCCAAGGATACTTTATTCGGACATGGCGTTTGAGCCATTCTGATATTTGGGTACTGTCTTCTTCCAGGTGTCCCATAGTTTTCCTTCCCGGGTGATCTATTGTTTGAAGCAACCGAGAAATCGTTAAGGGGCAACTCCGCTTCATTTTTGGTTTTGAAGAAACAATGCAGTCCTCTTCAGTATCGCCTAGGAAGACCACACGTCAAATATTACAACGCAGTTCTGTCGAAATGTTTCTTAAATGGTTCGGCAAACTTTGCAACTCACCAAGTTGCCGAAATCGGCCGACTCGAGTGGGCGAATTCAGGCGCAACCAACAGCGCAGTCAAGGCTACGGCATGGGCGGAGCCAACATTGAGCTAAACATCATCATCATGGCCCCCTTTTGCTTGTTTTTACATCTCCGGGCGAGCGTAGCGCATGACGTGGGCAACGTTGCCTCTCGGTGCTCAGCGGTGTTCACGTGATTGGCGTAACGCGCCTGCGCAGTGCCCTTCTTGGGAGCTGTCCGGCCAGCCGCCGTCGTCCCGCCGTTATTGCCGTCTTCAGCGTCACAACCACCGTCGTCGTCTCACCGTTTGTGATTATTGTCTCGGAGTTTCGTCCACACTACGAACACCACGTGTGCAGACTTATGCCACAGTTGTGCAGACGTCGTCGAATGCCGTAGACACCAAAACGTGGCAAAGAGTGCGGTGCAGACGACACTCGCGCCTTACACAAGCCCGCCTCAATCCCGCCCGTCGTTGGGTCGAGGATCACGTGACATTTTGTATCAGTGATGGCCATGGTCTTGGCGGCCCGAGACCAATGTTGCCGGACGAAGCCGAAGTTTCGGTTTCCGCTCGTGTTTAAGATTAGATTTAAAAATATATATCCCAGTTTTCGCAAAGCTAGGTATGTAGTGTTTTTTACTAGGGCTTTTTAGTTCGAAATCACTCATTATCTCGAAATCTTCGGAATTGAGCGGAGTTGCTCTTTAAAAAAAACGTCAGGGGAGAAAACGTAACACGAAATATACAAGGCTATAGGCTGAAACTGTTCAGTCAAGCTGGCTAGCTCTCGAACGTTGCTGGTAGCCGCCGCTTCTTGATGGGACAAGTTGTTCCAAGTACACTGTAAACGACTTCATTTTTGCGAGGGCTTATTTTTTTGTGAATAAGCAAGGGCTTATTTTTTGTGGACTTACGAAATATTGCGAAAAATAAATCATGCAAATAAATTACCCTACTGTAAGGAATTCTAAGCATACCCCTCCACATCGCAAAATATTGTTTTCCAAATATTCCTGAGACCCACACTTCGTAAAATTTGCGAAATATCGAGGCCGCGAAAAAAAAGTTAACAGTATATGCTTTCAACATTGCCGAAAGGCGTAAGAGGAGAGTATGTCGTGTCGAAGACTGCCACTGCTGCCGAAGTTGAAGATGCTATAAGGGACACGATCGTGCAAACGTCGGCAGCAATGGTGTGACAAGCAACTGAATCGTCGATGTAAACCGCATCGCTAATGAAGACGCAACAAGCAACTCCACCACCGATGTAGACAGCGTTGACAAACAAAAATGCAACAGCCTACTCAATCGCCGTTTTAAGAACGAAGTTGTAAAAATAAAGTCGCCATTGGTGCGAAGGTGCCTCCAGATAACTTTCAGTCGCATACTTGAGCTGCGCCTTTGGTTTTGGTTGCTCTTCTTGTGGGCGACATGGTAGTCATTTACTTTATCCGTAGTGTACCAATTTGGAATGTCAAGCAAACTCCTTGTCCACGATAGCGAGTCGGGACCAGCGACGGTGATGCTTGCGATTACGCGCGGGTACCCCATAATGGGGGGGCAGTGCCTTGCCAAATCGTAGTGGCCAGCCGCACTTTCGAGCTCCGTCAAGGCAGCGGCTTATTGTTGCCAAGAGCAATTTCTGAAAGGGTCTATAGACCCCTTTAAAAAATGACATTTACAAATCTAATGCGAAATGAAAGCACAGCTGTTGAGGAGGAGAAGGGGAGGGTATGCCCCTCCTCCTCCTCCTCTTTCCTTCCTCCTCCAATTCAGGAAAAAAAACTTGGTGTCACTTGGTGTCACGTCACCTAAGAGCAAATTCAGTTTCTGCACTAGATTTAGCGGGAAAATAGATGTCACGTGACCTCAACACCAATTCGATTCTCCACTAAAATTAGTGGGTAATCACATTGGTGTTGAGGTCACCTAACGGGGAATTGAATTGGTATTGAGGTCGCGTGACGTCAATTTTCTTGCTAAATCTAGCAGAGAAACTGAATTTCTCTGCTAAATCTAGCGGAGAAACTGAATTTGCCCGCTAAATTTAGTGGGGAATAAAATTGGTGTTGAGGTCACGTGACGTCAATTTTCCCGCTAAATTTAGCACGGTTACGCCTATGCCGCAAAACACGGAAACGGGCGCCTAAAAGCTGCGCTCTAAAAAACCTGGCAGCAGCAAAAATCCGCTGAACGAGTCCAACAACACTGGACGGCCGACACCATGGTGAAGGACTCCGTTGCGGCTGGTACTGTTATTTTTGCCGTGGCGTTCTTGTGTTTCCTCGATCCCTTCGCCTCTGTATGGCTGCAGGTAGCGTTTTCCCTATCACGGGTTGGGTAAATGAGACATTTTCCAACTCCCAGCCTATAAAGATGACGAAGTACATTGCTTCTACAAGAGCCGATCGAGTCAGAGCGCTCCTTTGACAGAAGCTGCAACTGCCTTGTTGAGGGGTGGCTATCCATTTTTTGTAGCTCTGCGTGCTTTTTGGGAACCTATGGAATGAAACAGACAAATACATAATGAAGTGTTTGTTATTAAAATGCAATTACTACTCTGGCTGAGCTGGGCAATTTGAGCGGGATTTCACAACTTTTACGTTTTCACGAGAAATTCGTTCCCCGCACCCCTCGGCCCTCTCACATTTTTACTTTGCACATTGCTTCTTCATGTTCAGATACATAGACCCATTTGAGCCTTTGTTAGTACACGGCCATCATGGGTTTCATGTACGACAAAGATTGTGTACAATAAAAATTACAAAAGCAAATAAAACCTTACGTTGCTTTACAGGGTGCTTCAAAATAAAGTTTAGACTCTAAAATCACCTGCAAAAATCAGGGACTCGATGTATCAAGTAGAAACTTACCTTGAATACATATTTAATGATCGGATTTACGCATTAAAGTTTTAGATAAAAATTTCAAATAAAAAAGCCAATGCTTTTAAATGGGACAGCTTTTTTTTTTTTTTTCATACTTGAAGTAGACTTGAAATTTTAATATGTCAATGGGACTAGTAAATACGTATTCAAGGTATGTTGTGTAAATGGGACGAGTAAAATATGTATTTGAGGTAAGTTGCAACTTGATATGTGAGCCACTTATTTTTGAGTGTCTCAAAACAAGTTGCAAGCTACAATAATGGCCCGTAAAAAATCAGCAACTGAGCGCATCAAGTTGAAACTTGCCTCCGATACGTATTTTACGTTCCCATTTACACAATAAAAATTCAAGTCTCTATTTTAAGTACAAAAAAAAAATTAAAATAAAAAACATATTTTTTTGGCAATTTTGTATTTTATTTTCTGATTTGTTGATTTGGAATTAAGACTTAAAATATTCATGAAGAAAATAATTCCTAGAGAAGGGGAACAAGAGGAACAAAGGACAAACATGAATCTCTTAACACAGCTTGGTGACTGGTGCGCGACCAGAAATATTGGCTTGGTCCGGGTATCGAACCCGGGACCTCTCATTTCCAGTGGACCGCTCTACCAACTGGGCTAACCAGGGGTTAGACGTCAGTAGAGCAAACAGGTTTTGTCAGCTGCCACCAGTCTAACACCAACAAGGGTGAAAGGCCTGCATTTTAAGGTTATGATTCTAATGCAATTTGAATGCAAAGATGCAAGCGAGAACTTGTTTCCCTTCTCCAGGGACTGTTTTCATCATTCTTGTCCAGCTTGCTTGCACCGTTGCATTTAATTGCATTACAAATATTAATGCACAAATTGAACCAGTAAAAGACACATTCAAAGTTAGTTTCTACTTGATGCGTCGAGTCTCTGATTTTTCCGGGCAATTTTATAGTCGAAACTTCATTTTGAAAAGCCCTGTGGTCGTAGAGCAGCGGGTTTGTAGCAAAGCAGAAGCTGCGAGCGCGCGCACGTTGCTATGCATAAAGCATGCGGTGCGCTACAGGCAGGTTAAAGCGAGAGGTTGTATGGCTTCGTGCATACTTAACACATAATTTACACGTGCAAGTTGGAAGCACCGCGAGCTGCCGCATGTGTGAAGCTACGTGCTTGCGAAGCTGTCATGTCCACAAGCGGTACCACGAGCAACATTACATTTGTGCTTGATGCTTTGATTTGAGCTAAAACTTAAAAACTCTACCTCCAAACGCTACTAAGTGAGAATAAAAACATTGGACTCAAACTCCCAAGGAGCATTGGGTGGGAACGGCTCGTGTTCAGTTCTTGCACTTGAGCAGGCGAACGTCTGCGCAGCTACGCCGTTGAATATCCCCACCCGACCGGCACCTGTCAACCGACAACGAGTACATTTACGAATACATACCCATTCTGCTTACAGAGGGGTATGCAGCAGTACGTTTGCAGCGTGGATCGTGGAACTGACGTGGTCGGACTAGTGTCTATGGCCTATGCAGCGTATGCCACGACGCACCCTTCGGCTGGTGCTGGTTGCTGTTGCGTACAACAGACGGCGCTTTTTTCTTTGAGGGGTTTATTGCATTTTATGGCGTAACCGCCTTCACGATAGCGCGAAATGGAGTTATTGTCTCTCGCCACTTAAACCACTTGCTTGCAAATGGTGTTGGTCCCTTTCATGTCTGATCCATTTCGATTGTACAATTAGTAGGCATGAGCTCCGCACTTGTCTGCTGCATGTGCTTGTCATGAGATGACATCAGCATACGTGATTACAGGCTCACAAAAAAAAAAGCTTTTGCTTTGATTTTTGAAATCAAACTAACTGACATGTTTTCACACCAGGCACCTGATGGCACTGCTGACACCACCACCCAGCATCAACAAGAGGCCAGTACAGAAGACAAGAAATCAAATTAGGATGTCATCGTAGCTTTGTTCCAAGTGTCAAGTGGACTCCCAACTCTTCCCCTCCCTGGATGTTTGTGGCGGTTTTAACCCAACGGTATTATCGATGGTCGAAGCTCTTCTAGTCTCGCAACTGAAGATGGTGGTACTGACCAAGCAAAGCACGTAAAATAGTCTGCTAAGCGCGGCTGGCTGTCCGCAGCTCGAAACCGACCGTGTACGCAACCCGTTCAAAAAGTGCACTTTTTTTTTCTGCTTTCGTCTGTGTGCGTATTGCGCGAGTTCTGCTTTGAGGTGGAACCGCGTTTTCAGGAGGCGTAAGCTGTTAAGTTTCGAGATTGTGTCGCAGATATTGGTGCTGCTTTGTTCAAGTGACATATCATGTATACAGACGTGCAAGCGACAGGTGGCAGCATTTTGCATGCCAGCTCGCTCTTGTTAACATCTCGGGATAAAAAGGTTTTAGATATTGGTTTGTCTTAACAAAACTAATGCTTCTGGTTCTTCTGTCTGATCGTTATGTCACGGTTTTTGTTGGCCGTCTTTTGAGTCGGCGCATATTTTAAGCCAGTTTGCGGGCACTTTTTATCGTCGTGGCTGGTTTCTCGACATTTATAGGGCTGTAATGGGTTATTTTTCTGTTTCTATTAAACAGTTTTGTTTTCCAGTTCTACGTAACATTTGTCTAAGCTGTTGGCCTTGAGTATGAGGTTCAGTGGTGTGGATTACAGTGTGTTTAGTGCCCATCTGTCAGAAGTGGTTCCGAAGTGGCAAGAAATGGTGTCACAGGGGCTGGCCCGTCATGCCGTTGAGTGTCACGATCCTGTGCGGTTGGTAGTAGAAGCTCCGGCAAAAAGTATGAGTGAGCATGAGCGTCGGCATTGTCACGGTGTTCCAACTCCTGGCTATTGAAGCTTCCGTGGACTGTCAAACTGGAGGGCGACCTTCAGTCGGGTGTCTGCCGCTGTCAGGGTCGTAGTAGGCAACTGCATGGAACTTTTACAACGTCATCGGGCGGAAATCTAAAGACCACATTTGAGGACGCTGTACACGCATCAGTAGGGTGCCATGTGTGAAAACTCGGTTTTTGCTTAGCCGTGTGCACATTCAGCAACGGTTCCAGAAAGGAGGAGTCTGCAAACCTTTTCTACATGGATAGAAGAAGAGATAAACCCGACTTCCGGTGCAAGTAATTCTCGCGCTTCGGGCAGGACCTACTTTGGAGTTCGTCGAGACAAAATGGCAGGAGAATGGTCGTTTGACGTCAGTCTGCTTTTCATCTATGAAAAGTGCTTCAAGTGAGATCGGCAACATTTTCCGATTCTTACCAGCTTGTGCACCTTTCTCGGTGTCTTGCAGATTTTGTTTTTAATGCGCTAGAAGCCTCGACAAACACTCTTTTGAGAGGCATTACACAGGAGGTCTGATATGATAGATTAATGTTGCCTTATGGTAAAAGGAGCACCACAGCCCCAGAAAATGTTTTTAACTACCCGAATAGGACACCTGTGTAACAGAACATACTCTCTGCCCCCTCCCCCCCTTAAAAAAGATCAAAAAGAAAACAGCACAATATCTGTGTTGCAATTTCACAGAGCACGAGAGTCTGTCCTCGCCACTTCATGCCCTTTCGCAGCAAGCAGAGAATGGTGGTACGAACATCGGCGAGAGTCGTTACAAAGCCTCGCGGTTCCCGACTAAAAAATAGTCAGTCATCCCTGCATAAATTTCTTATTTAATTTTTTTTTTTAACACATACCAAATAACTATTTTGTCTTAGACAAACTTGCACCTTACAAAATAAAAAATTAAAGCAGAGTCGACTCACCAGTTTTAACATTTAATTCGCACATACTTAGGATTACTCGGTGGTTGAATAATCTTCGCAGCAAGACGATATCACTCAACTTGGAACAGGCACCGACACCTCTCGTGAGGTATTTATTCAAAGCAAGATGAGAAGGCAATTAAGATGAGTCATCGATCTATTTCCCCTTCTTTCCCTTGGTGACCGGGACGGCCGTGGCGGCGCCCGCACCAGACCCGTGAACCTTGATGGATATCCTCGAGACGTAGTACAGTGCCACAATGGAAAAGATGAGACTGAAAGAAAAAAAGGACAGAATACTTCACTACCACTGTTTAGAACTATGGTTATTAAGATGGGAACGGCGGGGCATCTCTTTCGAACGCCCGGTCTCCTGCACACACTTGCCTTCCACCATGCTTTGGTGGCGTGTGCGCACCTGATGGTCGGGAGATGCCGAAGCACCATCGAAGGTAGGTAGCTCGCGCTAAAGGTGGGTCAACTGAAACCCCTTCCTGCCATTCTAATTCCCTTGGTGACTATAACAGTGAAGGTCATTGGACATGATAATCTCGTGACACGAGAAAGAAATACGCTCAGTTACGAAATCTCGGGTGATTCCCAAAAGGATTAACAAATGGTCCTGTAGTGTTAGTCCCACAAGTGTATTTGGTGCATTCTTGCTTCAAGGGGACGCTGAAGAAAGCTGGCTAAGCCTGTTCATGCACAGATGTTTGTGCTACGAGACGAATCCTTATTATTGCCGTGTTACACCGTCCGTGCACTCTTCAAGAGCAGCTGTCGTGTACCGCTATGGAAGAAGGCAAGTGATAACTGTTACTTCTTCAACTGGCAGCATGACCGGTACATGTAGTGATGAGTGCCACTCGAATACCAACAGAAAAGAGATGCCATTCAAAAGACTGCTCACCAAGTTGTAATGCAGACACGATGCACCATGCCTGAAGCTGCCATGGCTATCACCAGTGCAATCACCACTGATCAAAAATATAAATAAAACGAAAGCAGTTAGGTGTGTTCCTCAAACAATATCGACCGGCATCCCACTATTGTTTAGAAATATGTAACCAAGTACTTTGACAAGAACCAAGTGCAAGCACATTTGCAATAAACATTGCAGAGTGCCGAAGCTTGCTCATCAGAGCCAAGCTTTTTGGACTAGTCTCGGGGAGTATTGTTACTTCCTAAAGAAACCTTGGTAGTCGTGCTCAAACGAAGTAAAACTTCAACAAAGCAATGCAATCTAAGCAGGCAGACTCTGACTGGATGGATACAAAATAAAAATGAAGCCATAAAGAACTAAGAGAAAACTCTGCATTACCTTCAGGAATCAGTTTTGTCTGGAAATTCCTCCCAAAGAAATGTGTCTCGAAGTTGGAAATGGCCTTAGTATGGGTTAAGGAGGACAGCTGTCGACCACCCTTGCAAGGGTATGATATTTTAACCCTTTTGAATGCCGCTCGCCATTTATGCTGAAAAAAATGTTCTTGACACACTTTGTTGTGAAGAAAATTTTCACAAACTTTGGCTGCCTGACAAAGTATAGAATTCTGCTAGAATTGTTAATATAACTCAATATGCAATATATTCCTGAAAAAACAAACATAAACAACAAGGGTTTTAGATGTGCACGTTTGTGTACGTGGCATTTGAAAGGGTCAATAACTATTGAGACAGTACAGTATACCTCAACATTAATGGTTTTTGGTTAGGCTTTTATGGCTCACAAAAAACAACAGAAATTATACATTTCGTCTGGGTCGTGCATGACAAAATGCCATGCACGACCCAAAAACACACGGTGTGCATTCTGCAGAAGGAACTTCTCATTCTAGTTTGTCCCCATCTGCGGTATCAGTTACTAAATCAAAGGAGAACTCCTTCAAATCCGAAATCGGCTGAGTTCCACAGGGGTACATGAACCATCGAGCAGCTGATCTTGTGTCACTCTGGGAGGCTAAGATCCTTCTCTTCCGTGTGCGCCCCCTATTCAGAAGGGGTACATGGGCAAGCAGACAGCAACGTTAACTCTGTCGTTCTTCCCTGAACAGCTGACGTGTCTTTAACATTCTTCTTGCAAGCAAGAAGTATGACATGCTCTGATCTCCATTTTTTCAAACACCAACAATCAGATAGATTTTCGAAGCTCACATGGTTACAACTATGTTACATCCATGACCCTTGAAGATCACTTCAGTGTCTTTATGAAGTATGTGCCCCCTTTGCTTGTGTTACATACTGTCGAAGCACTAAAGCTTGGACTAGAGAGAACTGATAGACAGCAACAAAGGATACGGTCAGGATCAGAATGAACAGCACAGATCCCAGGAATCCACCCACGATGGTCATCGGTTGGCTGGACGTTAGCTGGCTCTTGTAGATTTGCATGGTCGCAAACAGGAGCATGAACAGGCATGTTGCCAGCATTCCAGATGTCCCAGAAGACACAGCTGCAAAAAATATTGTTGAAAACTTGAATGGGACAGTGAGGAACACAGCATGCTGAAGAAGAGTATAGTCGCTGCAGGGCATGGTGAGTTTCGAACATTTCAATATCGCTTTATGTCGAATGAGCGAATCGGAAGAAAAGGGTTTCCGTACTTCAGAAATGAACAGGCTGCAACAGAGCAAAACAGAACGGGGTGTGACATGCCACCATGGTGCAGTCGGATGACCTATTCGTAGTGCTGAATGAAGACTTTCATAATAGAACAAGTTTGAGGCAAAACGTCGGCCTTATCTGCGGGAGCAATATAGCGGATAATGTTAACCCGGTATGACAGTAGCATTGTTGTGCAGGTCCATAAGTGGAATTAGTTATCGTGGCACTTTGGGGAGTACCCCCGAACGTTTGTCAATCGGCCTATGAAATCGCGATTAAACGTCAATCAAACGGACGAAAACCGGCCCTGGTCTCATAAAAATCCAATATGCGCTTTGAAAGTTTCATGGAATTGAGCAAAGCACATACACCTTCAAAGGACATTTCAGCCCACGAAGTCTGCGACAATTTTTCACGTTGACTCTGCGGCCTAAGGATTGAGTGGGGCACGATAAGAAGCGATACTTTGCCTCGTATACTCTATGATACATGCTGTTTACCATGATAAAAGAAATCCGACTCGCACGGTGAGCCTCTCTGACTCGAGTAACGTTTTGTCATGGTGGATCCCTAGTCGCGCCCTCAGTTTCCTCGCAAGTCAGCGTATCTCCCTAATATGTCTGGCGCGCTTTTATCCTCCTCTGCCCTACATAGTGATAGTTCCAACGAAGCAGATACTTAAAAATAGTGAAAATGTCGACTAGCAAGAAAGTGGGGACAAGCTCGGAGATAGGCCGATCAACTTCGAATAACGACCCTAAATTTTTGACAGATTCAAACGCGACAACTTGTACATTTGGCTTACCCATCTCTTTGGTCTTGGCGGGCTTCTTTTTAGAGAATTTAGGGGTTCAATACAAAGAAATAATCTCTGATCAAAATATGCCCCCACCACCAACACAATCACCGCGTCCACCGGCACACGTTACACAACAAAGTTGCTCGGGGAACTGCGATTCTGCGCTAAAAGTAGCGTAGAAGTGATAACAAAACAACCCTTGTAAAACTGATAAATATTATACCAACAACGAATATGTCATATAATGATATCTTACTGAGAACTTTATGGAACATTAGTATTAATAAAACTATAACTTGATGATTGCTGCAAAATTGTTCGGCTTAATTCTACAACGTAGAAAGATCCAAGTCAATCCAATTGCCTGATTTACCTGGCGCTTCGTTTAAACCTTCACACCTGTTTGTTTAGTGATTGAATGGATTCAACCAAGAGCGGAACGATGTAGCTTCCAGACACTGCAACACCGAAACGTTTTGGGTTTCACACATCGCTGAAATGACTTTCTAGTGCTTAATCATTATGTAAGGACTTGGAGTCACTCATACGGGCGATCAGCGTTTCAGCACGTCGTTTGCCATTTAGGACCAAGACACATTTTTCTTGTGCAATTTTAATTGTTTATCATATTTTTTCATATTATTTAAAGCATACTGCAGGCTTTTTCGTTGGGTCCCTGCGATTGGGGGCACAAATAGTAGACAATCATCAAACGAGGCAGCTACCGCCCATTACGATAGCGGGTAGACCCAGCGCGTACCAACTTGTTTTTCAGTGTGTGTGTGTGTGTGGGGGGGGGGGGGGGGGGGCAGGCAAACCAGAACCCCCCCCCCCCCCCCCCCCCGGGCCGGGGGGGCGGTGCCCTTGTAATCCCTTGGGCGCCGCCGGCCAGTGTTTGCCGTGCCTATCTGGCGGCTGTTTTAGGGGGGGGGGGGGGGGCAAAACACATGCCTTGCCCCCCTCTCTGAGAACTGGGGGGGGGGGGGGGGGGGCAAGGGCCCCCCTTGCCTCCCTCTCCCTCCCCCGGTTGGTACGCCCATAGGTAGACCCAGCGTCGTCAGTGCGGGGGGGGGGGGGGGGGGGGGGGTGTTGTGGCGACCAACGAGCGGAGCGGGAGGTGTCGTGGCGGGCCATCGCTCCAGGTGCCGGTGGCCCTAGTAAAGGGGTGTCCAAACAGGGCACTACAAAACGCATGACTCCGACAAATCGTGAAAATTGAATCGGACGCGCCCGCTTCAATTTTCACGATTTGTCGGAGTCGTGCGTTTTGTAGTGTCCTGTTTGGACACCCCTTAACATCACTGGGTCCTCCCAAAGCTCGGCGTTTTGACGTCACCGCTTCTGCGCAAGAAGCAGACGAACTTGCGCTCCGCATAAGTTTCATCACGCTGATATCTAAAGGCATATTTTGAGTTTTATCGCGCCTAGAGATCTTTCAGAGTTCTACTGTTGTCATGAAAACTTCACATTTTTCGTGACTGAGGTGGAAGAAGACATTTGGGGTGTGCCGCACTTCCATTGAAAACCAAGACATTCATAAACCTCAAAAAAAAAAAAAAAAAAGGGGGGGGGGGGTTATGCTTTTTTTTGGGGTTTACTACGGTTGATAGAATGCCATTTCGTCGAAGCACGTTTTAGAGAACGGGCACGTTTTATCGAAGCACAGTTTAGAGAAAGCAGAGCCTCAGTTTAGAGAAATGCCGTTTATCGAAAAGAGGACGCTATTGAAAAAAGGGTTTTCTACTTCGCGCGTGTATCACTGGTGCGCGTGTTAACCCAAGCCCCCCGCTGCGCTCCCGCCGCTTCGCGGCGACAGTCTGCGGCGGCTCATTACAAAAATGTTAACTCACCAGACTTATCCGCACACGCCGCTTCGCGGCGACCGAATTCGCTAAAAGGAGGCTCATCGCCATTTTCTCTAAACTTGGTTTCTCTATAAAGACATTCGATGAACTGGGGTCGGTAAAACGACGTTCGCTAAAACGAGCTTCTCTAAACCGCATGACTCCGCTTTTTTTTGTGTGTGTGCTGAGAACCGGGGCACTGAACAGGAGTGTAATGAGTAGGGTTGTGGGAATATTCGAAATTTCGAATACTAGTTTCGAATAATACATTATTTGATATTCGCTTCGAGGAGAATCGCACTATTCGCGTTTTTCGGAGTGTTGATTGCGGCGGGTTAGCCTTGTTGAGTGCGCTCCTTACCGAGCCCCGGTGCACTGCGGAGAAGCAATACCCGCGGAAGCGAGCTCCGCGGGTGTTGCTTCTTTGCATAACATCCGTGCTCTGTAAGAAGCGCACTTCACGGGGTAACCCGCCGCGATAAGCACTCGGAAAAGTACGAGGGAACAAAATCATACATTCAAAGCGGGATGGTGCACGCGTTGCGGCTGTATTTGAAAATAAATGGAATTATTGTAACTTCTACCTTCTAGTAAAAGTTGCAAAAGTAAGTTGACTGTTATGCAAGAGTAGAGAGATGCCCTTGTAACCTGCGTTCAGTGGCGTACCAAGTTGTTTTTGAGTGGGGAAAGACCCCACTCAGAGATTAGACGATTGATAGATACAGGCATTTGATGTTTGTTTATTTTGGGGGGGAAGAGAAAAGGGAGAGCCAGGAAGACAGACACACAACAAAAGAATAATTAGAGCTGTGTACAAACGTCGCAAGATAGGTGGCGCGACTTACCGCCCAATACACTGTCAATAGATCCACTCATATTAATGGCGATGCTGCACACAACGGAGGCCTTTGCTCATGGTTTGCTCCCGTTGCCCTTGTTGTGATGCTGCTCCCGCAGCAACAGCAAGAAAGTGAAACGGTCAAAAATTCCGTCTTCGCTAACTCAGTCCGCTTTACCGCTAACCTCGCAGGCGTCGCTTCAACTTGCGCGTGCGTCTGGAATCGCGCACTTGGGCAAGCAAACTGCTCACCATGCAAGCTTCTAAGATGACTGTCTTTAGGCTTCTCCACTGCACTGTACGAGGAGTACCGTGCAGCCCTGCGCGGTACTGGTTTTGTTGCTCGTTTCTCGATTGAGCCCAGGGATTGGCAGGATCGTCGTTTGAGTGCGCGTTGCGTAAACTCTTTTTCCAAGAGGACGAAAGAGCCGCAGACCATCCCGAAAACCGTGCCACCCTGTGTATGCCAGCGAACATCAACAAATGGACTTGAAGTGCAACGTTCGTACTGGCTCTGGTAAGGCATTTGTGCAACAAGAACTTTGCGTAGCCAGGCTCTACCGGCTTCTAAGCGTTCTTCATTTTCGATCCGAGATGCTGCGGAAAGCGAGGTAAGATCTCTCATTTCTCCTGTATATATTGCAATCGTTGTGTTGCCGAACGCGGCCTTGCGTAAGGAGGTATATTGAACGCTTATTTAACGGGGCTTTGCTGTATCTTAACTGTTCACAGTACTTTAATTACAGTTGCACTTGCATAACGTTGTAGAAACGCTCGTAAAAGCTCAGATGCCAGCCTACCTACGCTTGACACCACAGGAGCATCAGGTAGTGGTTAAACCTTTGTTGTTTTTACAAATTAACTCAAACTGCGATAGGTTTTTATAGCGCTGTTAGGGGTGCAGAAGTTTTGCCCTCTGTTACTCGTATTTCTTATAGGAATCTTTCACATCATCTCTCATTCTTATCCTCAGTAATGCTGTAACGTCATTTACATGATGTACATCTACATTGTAGCATCGTCGACATGTCGCATTTTCTATCTGTGAACAAAGCGGTTCTTTGCTTACAAACAAATTAATGTCATTCCTTGCATGCAGGGTGCCATGAACCCAGAACTTGCGATAGCACCCGCGTGCCACCGCTGCTTTCTAGCGAAGTCTTCCAAAGACCACGTGGTGGTGGTGCCATCTGGTGCAGCCAGCCAAGACTACCACCGGCTCATTCCATCTCTCTTCCGAGACGTTTCCGCCGTCTCCACCAGATCCTTGCTCAAGGTGGGACGTCGTCATTTCGTGCATTTTTTTTCTTCTTGCAAGGCTCCCGAACAGTTTATAGTCTGTAACTGACTTAAACCTCTGATTTCACCTTTAAGGCAGACGAGCAGTCAGAAAGGAGGAAACTCTTCCTTAATTCCTTCGGGCATTATTTTCTTCCGATGCTCCCGAGCAGCTTTTCCCTAGATTCCTTTCCGCTTGAAATAGAAAAAACATTCCCCTTCTCTGCGGCGAGTAGCTCAAAGACCAGCTCTTGCGAAGAGAGGAGGAGAGAAGAGTGCGAGAGGAAATGGAAAGAGGGAAACTGAATACTGGCTTTCTGCCTGGCAAAAGACGATTCTGTGGGTTGGCCTTTAAGGCTGGTTTACACACTTGCCACTCCCCACGACCAGAGGGGCTAGAAACCGTTTTTTAAGCCTCTTGCAACTGCTTACGACCGCTCGCAGACGGACGTAAGGAGTCACAAGAGCCTTAAAACTGGTTTTAACTTCTCCGGTTGTAAGCAGTCGTGAGTGTGTGAACCAACCTTCACGAGTGAGACTGGTGGCAACTCTTAGCATTCGTTTGCTCTACTGACGTCTAGCTCCTGGCTAGCTCGGTTGGGAGAGCGCATTGCTAGTCTTAGAGCGGTCTTGAAATCAATCCCCGAGAGAAGGCAGACTTTTTTCAGCAGCCGCCTAGAGTGTGCGAGTTGCACTCCATATCAGGGGGAATTCAATTTATTCTGGAGAAAAGTTTTAGGTCTGAGAAAACAAAAAAAAAACACTACCAGACATCTTTAGATCAATGTGACCAAAAGCTCAAAGGAGACGTTCAATTTGTGTTTAGTGTTCAAAACTCTTGTCCATTCTTTTAGCTTTGTTCTTATCCGACATCCTTGTTTCCTCTTGGCTGGTCTCTGCCCGCACGGGATGTACAGCTTGCCCAAGAGCTGTCGAGCATGTTGACGGAGCACTCCCTGCTCATGCGCTTGCTGGGCACACCCAAGGACGGCCTGCTCCACCGGAGCCGCATGGGCTGCCTCCAGGGACGCTGCAGCCAGATGGCCCACTGCATGAAGGCTCATTTTGTGGACGCCTTCAGGGGGTCAGTGGTCTGCCTCTTGTCTTTCTCCCCATCCGGTTCTGTACTCAATCTCACCTTACGATAGATTGCAACGGATGCTACGAGCCCCTAGGACCAATCCAAAGCTCGGAAATTGTGCTCCGCTAAACTGGTTCATTCAACGAGGCAACGCTGGAGGTGCGAAGGCACATGACATGCTTGGAGCTATGGATTGGAATATTGCCGTGATCAGCAATACTCTGAATGGACTGGGATGACCGGAGCGTTGCTGATCAGTGATCATTGATTGATCTTCGTCCATTTCTAAACATGTCGGCCCACCTATATAGAGTGACCATATTCCTGTAGGTAGAAAACGGGACATCCCAGCAGCAGCGGCGGTGGCGGAGGGGGCGTAGTTTTAAAGATTGAGATTGGGAGAAAAGCTTTAATGAAATAACAGCTCCCACTTCAAAACATTACCATATTGCACTAAGCCCTAGGGCCTAGGGAACAGTCCCACTCATGGTTCAGTTGCATGCACTCATTTGGAAGCTCCTGCTTCGAGTCCTTCGTTGGTGTGGGCGTATTTTGCCGACGACTGAAGTTTCCTAAGCGGGACTTTATCCTGCAAGACTTGGCTGTAAAAGTCTGTGCACATATATAGAAAAGAAAAAGATTCATGTCCTGAAAACGGGACATGAATCTTTATTGGGACAAAAAGATTGTACGGCAGAAGCAGACCTCAAAAACGGGACTGTCCCGGCCAAAACGGGACGTCTGGTCACCCTACACCTATAGGTTCTTCCGCACTATTTCAGGCACCTCTATACTGTTGTAGCATTTTAGAGCAGTAGGTGTTAGTGCCCTTTCCTAGCAAAAATTGCTCACGTATAAATGCAAAACCCAACTCTACAGCAGAGGCACTGCCCTCCCTATCTCCGTTGTTCCTCACTCACTGCAGACCAGGGTGTCTAGCGACCGGAAAAACCGGGAATTGTCAGGGAATTTTTAATTACCGGGAATTGTCAGGGATATTGTCAAAAAACGACCCCAGTCAGGGAAAATGAGCCAGAAATGCCATAGAGTGCCCTGAGCAAAGACTTGAGGACTTGGGGGCTGAAAAATAGGCAATAAATTCTGCTTAGAGCAGAGCGCGATCTCTGCTCATTTGATGTAGGGTGTGCTACCCGATGCAACGGGAGCAGTCGACAAATCCAGTCCAAGCCTTGGATTGAGGGCACGAGACTAGGCTAGATCCAGTTAGAGCTACTAGATTTAGTAAAGGACAAGGACGACGTTCACATCCATCGTTCCAAGTTTATTTAGGCAATAAATTCTGCTCAGAGTGGAGCGCAGGCTCTGCTGACTTGATATAGGGTGTGCTAATGAATGCAAAAGAAACAGCCGACAAATCCAGTGCAAGCCCTGGATTGGCTTGGATTGAGGGCATGAGACTAGGCTAGATCCAGTTAGAGCTACTAGATTTAGTAAAGGACAAGGACGACGTTCACATCCATCGTTCCAAGTTTATTTAGGCAATAAATTCTGCTCAGAGTGGAGCGCAGGCTCTGCTGACTTGATATAGGGTGTGCTAATGAATGCAAAAGAAACAGCCGACAAATCCAGTGCAAGCCCTGGATTGGCTTGGATTGAGGGCATGAGACTAGGCTAGATCCAGTTAGAGCTACTAGATTTAGTAAAGGACAAGGACGACGTTCACATCCATCGTTCCAAGTTTATTTAGGCAATAAATTCTGCTCAGAGTGGAGCGCAGGCTCTGCTGACTTGATATAGGGTGTGCTAATGAATGCAAAAGAAACAGCCGACAAATCCAGTGCAAGCCCTGGATTGGCTTGGATTGAGGGCACGAGACTAGGCTAGATCCAGTTAGAGCTACTAGATTTAGTAAAGGACAAGGACGACGTTCACATCCATCGTTCCAAGTTTATTTAGGCAATAAATTCTGCTCAGAGTGGAGCGCAGGCTCTGCTGACTTGATATAGGGTGTGCTAATGAATGCAAAAGAAACAGCCGACAAATCCAGTGCAAGCCCTGGATTGGCTTGGATTGAGGGCATGAGACTAGGCTAGATCCAGTTAGAGCTACTAGATTTAGTAAAGGACAAGGACGACGTTCACATCCATCGTTCCAAGTTTATTTAGGCAATAAATTCTGCTCAGAGTGGAGCGCAGGCTCTGCTGACTTGATATAGGGTGTGCTAATGAATGCAAAAGAAACAGCCGACAAATCCAGTGCAAGCCCTGGATTGGCTTGGATTGAGGGCATGAGACTAGGCTAGATCCAGTTAGAGCTACTAGATTTAGTAAAGGACAAGGACGACGTTCACATCCATCGTTCCAAGTTTATTTAGGCAATAAATTCTGCTCAGAGTGGAGCGCAGGCTCTGCTGACTTGATATAGGGTGTGCTAATGAATGCAAAAGAAACAGCCGACAAATCCAGTGCAAGCCCTGGATTGGCTTGGATTGAGGGCACGAGACTAGGCTAGATCCAGTTAGAGCTACTAGATTTAGTAAAGGACAAGGACGACGTTCACATCCATCGTTCCAAGTTTATTTAGGCAATAAATTCTGCTCAGAGTGGAGCGCAGGCTCTGCTGACTTGATATAGGGTGTGCTAATGAATGCAAAAGAAACAGCCGACAAATCCAGTGCAAGCCCTGGATTGGCTTGGATTGAGGGCACGAGACTAGGCTAGATCCAGTTAGAGCTACTAGATTTAGTAAAGGACAAGGACGACGTTCACATCCATCGTTCCAAGTTTATTTAGGCAATAAATTCTGCTCAGAGTGGAGCGCAGGCTCTGCTGACTTGATATAGGGTGTGCTAATGAATGCAAAAGAAACAGCCGACAAATCCAGTGCAAGCCCTGGATTGGCTTGGATTGAGGGCACGAGACTAGGCTAGATCCAGTTAGAGCTACTAGATTTAGTAAAGGACAAGGACGACGTTCACATCCATCGTTCCAAGTTTATTTAGGCAATAAATTCTGCTCAGAGTGGAGCGCAGGCTCTGCTGACTTGATATAGGGTGTGCTAATGAATGCAAAAGAAACAGCCGACAAATCCAGTGCAAGCCCTGGATTGGCTTGGATTGAGGGCATGAGACTAGGCTAGATCCAGTTAGAGCTACTAGATTTAGTAAAGGACAAGGACGACGTTCACATCCATCGTTCCAAGTTTATTTAGGCAATAAATTCTGCTCAGAGTGGAGCGCAGGCTCTGCTGACTTGATATAGGGTGTGCTAATGAATGCAAAAGAAACAGCCGACAAATCCAGTGCAAGCCCTGGATTGGCTTGGATTGAGGGCACGAGACTAGGCTAGATCCAGTTAGAGCTACTAGATTTAGTAAAGGACAAGGACGACGTTCACATCCATCGTTCCAAGTTTATTTAGGCAATAAATTCTGCTCAGAGTGGAGCGCAGGCTCTGCTGACTTGATATAGGGTGTGCTAATGAATGCAAAAGAAACAGCCGACAAATCCAGTGCAAGCCCTGGATTGGCTTGGATTGAGGGCATGAGACTAGGCTAGATCCAGTTAGAGCTACTAGATTTAGTAAAGGACAAGGACGACGTTCACATCCATCGTTCCAAGTTTATTTAGGCAATAAATTCTGCTCAGAGTGGAGCGCAGGCTCTGCTGACTTGATATAGGGTGTGCTAATGAATGCAAAAGAAACAGCCGACAAATCCAGTGCAAGCCCTGGATTGGCTTGGATTGAGGGCACGAGACTAGGCTAGATCCAGTTAGAGCTACTAGATTTAGTAAAGGACAAGGACGACGTTCACATCCATCGTTCCAAGTTTATTTAGGCAATAAATTCTGCTCAGAGTGGAGCGCAGGCTCTGCTGACTTGATATAGGGTGTGCTAATGAATGCAAAAGAAACAGCCGACAAATCCAGTGCAAGCCCTGGATTGGCTTGGATTGAGGGCATGAGACTAGGCTAGATCCAGTTAGAGCTACTAGATTTAGTAAAGGACAAGGACGACGTTCACATCCATCGTTCCAAGTTTATTTAGGCAATAAATTCTGCTCAGAGTGGAGCGCAGGCTCTGCTGACTTGATATAGGGTGTGCTAATGAATGCAAAAGAAACAGCCGACAAATCCAGTGCAAGCCCTGGATTGGCTTGGATTGAGGGCATGAGACTAGGCTAGATCCAGTTAGAGCTACTAGATTTAGTAAAGGACAAGGACGACGTTCACATCCATCGTTCCAAGTTTATTTAGGCAATAAATTCTGCTCAGAGTGGAGCGCAGGCTCTGCTGACTTGATATAGGGTGTGCTAATGAATGCAAAAGAAACAGCCGACAAATCCAGTGCAAGCCCTGGATTGGCTTGGATTGAGGGCACGAGACTAGGCTAGATCCAGTTAGAGCTACTAGATTTAGTAAAGGACAAGGACGACGTTCACATCCATCGTTCCAAGTTTATTTAGGCAATAAATTCTGCTCAGAGTGGAGCGCAGGCTCTGCTGACTTGATATAGGGTGTGCTAATGAATGCAAAAGAAACAGCCGACAAATCCAGTGCAAGCCCTGGATTGGCTTGGATTGAGGGCATGAGACTAGGCTAGATCCAGTTAGAGCTACTAGATTTAGTAAAGGACAAGGACGACGTTCACATCCATCGTTCCAAGTTTATTTAGGCAATAAATTCTGCTCAGAGTGGAGCGCAGGCTCTGCTGACTTGATATAGGGTGTGCTAATGAATGCAAAAGAAACAGCCGACAAATCCAGTGCAAGCCCTGGATTGGCTTGGATTGAGGGCACGAGACTAGGCTAGATCCAGTTAGAGCTACTAGATTTAGTAAAGGACAAGGACGACGTTCACATCCATCCTTCCAAGTTTATTTAGGCAATAAATTCTGCTCAGAGTGGAGCGCAGGCTCTGCTGACTTGATATAGGGTGTGCTAATGAGTGCAAAAGAAACAGCCGACAAATCCAGTGCAAGCCCTGGATTGGCTTGGATTGAGGGCACGAGACTAGGCTAGATCCAGTTAGAGCTACTAGATTT